GCTTCCTATAGCTGTTCCCGACGTTTGTTCAAAAATTTGTTCCAGACAAGCATTTTTCAATTAAAGTGGGAAGGTTTGGTTCCAGATTATCGGATTTTAATATATCTCAAATGAAATTGAGAGTTTCACGAATAGGGACTTTAGAAAAGAGGGATTCTACATCGAAACTAACCACCAGAATATCTTGTGTATCCAGGAATTTTAGAGGCATAAGGGGTGACATACTTTTTCAGAGAGTGTGATAGAATAATAGAATAATAGAATTAAGATTACGTTCCATATATGGCGTAGGATCTTTTTTAAGTTGACGATATGACCACTGCTTTTAGGATTACGATGTCTGGATTAGATTTTAGGGCAATGCGTTCGGGCTTTGGAATATTAGATTTAGGAGGCTTCGATTTTTTAAGGATTTTTGCGGTTTCAAATCAAAGAACCCAACAGGATGATTGGCAAAACGTCAGCAAGTTTCATCTATTCGATTTTAAAAAGTTAAATAATAATCGATTTACTTATTTTTTCTACAGACTAACTAACACGCCCGATTAAAATTTACTAAAACTTGAAATATGTTACCATATTGTGGGTAACATTTAGTAACATTTGCTGATAGCTGCGTGCCCCAAACCAACGACCGCGGTTGGTTCGACCAGGCAAGCCCCGCCTCCGCGTGCGTAAATCAAAGAGACACGCCGACGTCATCAGATCAAAGTATCCCACACTACGTCTTCTGCGTTTTCCTCGTTCTGCGAAGAAATAAGCGAGCCGCCTTAACGATAATGATAAGATCCTGGTTTAACTACTAAATGTGTATTCTAATGGGCGCCATTTTAGGATAGCGTATTCAGAACTTAAGTTTCGAACCAAATATAGAGCAATTATGCCGTTTTTGGTAAATAAAGACTTTGAATATGCCATTCTCCCATCGTTAATCGTACGAGGCTCGGTCGTAAAAACACGAGCTATGTACGATGACGATCCGAAGATAAGACTCTTTAACCTATGACGTGATTTGTGATTGGCGAGTGGGCTTATTATTGAGCCCGACGGCGAAAACGACAGGAAAATGGATTGTTTAAGGACCACGAAATATAGTTACGTCTAATTGTTCCACGTAGGTTTGGAAAACACCACGATAATAGTGGTCATTTAAGAAGAATAGTATTTCTCTTCTCTTAAGACAGACAGACATAATTTTTTTTGCAATCCGTTCAACTAAACACTTGCATTTTTGGTTGCGGTAGTATGAGAATTCCAAGAAATCCATATTACGTGGGAATTTTAAATCGAACACCCCATATTTTATATTGGCATTTAAATGATCAATTAATTTTTCATCTAAAAGGATCAAACTATGAGCGATCAATTTTCACTGGTTTTCGAGTTACAAGCAAAAAACCAAAATATTGGAATTAAAGCGAATTAAACTAATCATCTATCAACTGGGTAGCAAAGTTCCAGAATGTTTTGCAGAATCTAAAACTTTCATAACATACAGGGTGTTCCATTGAAAAAAAAGAAGTTGATATACGTTATGAGTATACCTGGCAACACCACACGGTCAAAAACCTTTTGAGGTTTTTAACATAAGTCATTCTCCATGAACGTGAATAACGCTGTATACGGTTACCGTTTCAGTATTTTTCAAAAATGTGCACTTGAAACAAACTATTTTGCTATTAAAAACATTTTGCTATAAAAAACCTTCAACCTAGTTCGATCAACAGGACAATTGTTTTTCACATGAGACACCTTGTATATTTCTGATGTATACAATTTCCATTTCAAAAATATAGCGCACTTGACATTTTGCTCGATTGTTAATCGAAATAGACTTTGTGGGTTTTCGCTTCGTCTTTTAGATCATTGATCGAGCGTTTTATAAAAACCAAAAAAAATGCAGTCAGCATTTTTTACAACGATCAATAATCTGAGAGAAAACAGGACATTTTCAGAAGATTGCCACAGATTTAGAAAAAAAAAACAAAAAACTATACCTCAAAATGAAATAGGGAGTACAGGAAATACCAAATTTTTCAGACACACTCAAAAGTTAACTGAAGTTAAGCTTTATAAAATATATTAGAAAAAAATTACATAAAATTAACTACAACAGGAATATTACCTTACTCTATAAACTAAGAAGTAATTATTGAGTAATTTTTGATTGAGTATAATTAGGTAAATGCGATGCAATAAGAAATAATTTTATTTAAGGGGTTATTGACACATGATGTCCTGCTTAATATTGGTTAAAAACTAATAAGAAAGATGCCCCTAAAACCAAATTTGCTGAATCTCACCATAATTAACAAAACTGAAAATTTGTCTACAATAGATCCAATTGACACGCAGCAAAACAGCAAACAGATACTCAATTAGCGTGATTAAAAAAGTCTGTGGATTAAATACTCCATCTTACATACCTGGGAATTTAATTATCCTGAAGTCGACTCGATTAGTTGCTCAATTAACACTAAAAATACATGTAGCTCGGCGTATGAATTTTCCAACAAAAATCTGAAACACTCGTTACTGGACTAGAAAAAAAGCTAGGTTACGACCTGATGAGACAACCATCGATTGAGAAAAATGACCACATTGCCATGACGGCCAAATTTCAGCTACAAATTAAACAAAGCTCAACACACAAGTCAGCAGACTACAGTCAGATCATTGAACATCTTCAAAACCAGTTCTTCACTGAAGAAAGCACCAGTAGCTACGAACATGTAATTATTAAACTGAACTCGCTGACTGCAGAGAGTTTTAAGAACGCTGACAGGGAACGACACGTATATAGAACTCTGAGAATTTACCGAGATTATAACAATGGTCTAAAACAACACATATCTCTAACTCAATTCCCACTTAAGGATACTTCTGGGAACCGCCACATCAGAACTAGAGAGAGTAAAAAGAGAGTAAAATCCAGATGAAGATGAAATTCTAGCTGTATTTCTAACAATTGTATTGTCTCATTATCTGCAGGTAAAGTCAGCTGCCAGAAGAGTGGAAAACAACAATTTTTAGATAAAGAAAAAAATAGCAATTTATTAATTAAACAACTTTCATTAACTATCCTGAATTCAAAAACCTACCCAAGCCGATGGCAACGGACAGCCAATTGACATCGTTGAGGTTTTGATTAGGTTTCTTTCACAGAATTGCTTGTCAGATAGAGTGGTTTATAATGGAAATCGTCTTAGTGAGGAAACTGTACCATCAACCTCTATTAATTAGTCTATAAATAAAGAAATTCTTCCCAAAAAAGAGAACTCACTATTATAACATGCGATAAGAGTTGTTACTGTGATAACCTAAGTGCGGATCGGATCCATTTCCACGATATAAATATAGTCGCGGATAATGTCAGCTACCACTCAAGGAAATCGTAGAAAAAATACCAACGTCTTCTTCTTACAGTCGAGACGATTGCGATATTACATCGAGAAGCGTGATTGAAAGCGCTCGGATGCCATCCGAAGAATTTCTACGACCGTCATACCTTGCAAAACGATACGCTATGAAATGAAATCGCAACGTTTCGACTTTTAATGAATTGGTCTGGTAGGTAGATTTATATGCTCTCTCCTGTAAGTAAGAACAGTTTTTGATTGCCAAAGCTTCACCGTTTAGGAAAGAAGCAGAGTTTTTTGCCTTCGGCTAGAAATCATAAAATCCAAATCGTACGCCACATTTTATTAATGTTGAACATTGGCGTATTATTCGGAAAAACGGAATTAACACATACAGGGCGTCCCAATTTTTTGGCAATAAGTGGGTATTAATTAGATATTTTGATGTAGAATAACTTTTTTTTATAAATATTCTAATATTGCTTTATGGCCAAATTTACTACTTTATTTATATTTATAATAAACAACGCAAAAATGGAGTTTTCACTGCATGGACGAACAATAATAGAGGAATCTCACCTATGAAACTCTGTTTTCAGCATTTGTATGCACAAGGTACCGAAGTACGGTCCTGAAATGTCATTGTGGAGTCGCCAGTTGTGTGAGTTACCAAAGTTAAACACCGGATTATGTCCTATCATTCGGGAAACTATATCACAAAATTTAGAGAAAAGAAACATCAAATCCGGAGTCTGCCCGCGACATTCAATCTCCATAGAGACGTTTCAGTAACTTTAAACTTAAGCATTTTGATTCTTCCGGAACTTCATTGAACAGCATATAGACGTTATAAGAGAAAAATTTTTGATGTGGTGGGGGCGATATATAACCACATTTTACTATGAAGGTACTGGGGACACTTTGTATAAGATTATATGAAACTGGATCCCTGGCACGTATACCATTAATGAAACGTAAACACGATTTTTGTTGACGTCATACAAATACAAACATGGGCCATATACAGTATCACAAAAACTAAAGTGACTTAAAACCAATGAATCAGTCAAACTTGTTTTTAATTACTTTAACCACAAATGTCTGGTTGGATCTAACCTACTTAGATTGCCATATGCTGTACGTATCATCTTATTAACATGAGTTTTAAATCGAGTGCCAAGCATCCGAGCATTTAGTTCTTCACTTTGAATTGAATTGAATTAAACCTTTTTGCATTAATTTCTAAATTACGATAATTCAACAACTCTATTAATCTTTCTAAATGTCCATTGTTAATATTTGTGTCTGACTGAAAAAATGAAAGGTACTCAACATATTTCGTCGCTTACCCTTTGTTGGAGATTTTAATTACGTCATCTGTGACATTGCTCGCTATTCAATGACTGGTAGTATGCTAATCGGTTTCAGGTCACTAAAATTTGAGTTTTTAGGGAGGGAAATTACTTTCGACATCTTTCACTTCTCTGGAAGCACTTTATCAAATTAGACAGGATTTGACAGGTCAAAAGGACCATATTAACATTTAATAGTGGATGACGAACTTTCCCACTACTTTTAATTTGACTTTCATAGTCCGTAGATTAAGGTTATGAGAAGAGTAATGAGAAATATTTTTTTCAGGACGAATGTCGGACCGACGTGACCCGGTCGATTGGGGCGCCCCGTCCGGGGGTCCCCCTATCGCCGACAGCTCCCGAGGTAACGTACCAATTTTTTAATAACAATAATAATAATAACAAATTAACAATTTTTTTTACCGCTATTACTGTTAACGTGAACATAACACATTGTCGCAATCTACTGGCAATGACCGGGCACGTAGTTTTCAGGGGGAGGCAATCAATAAAAACACTCCGTTACTTACAGATCAGCAGCTAGTATTTTGTAAAAGCGAATGTTTAGCTACCCACTAGCTGCTCAACTTACAGACCAGTACAGCACTTGTTCGGTAATTTTAAACTAGACAGCCATACTTTATGAAGTTGTCAACTTACGCCAGACACATATTGCATTCTGAAACACTTTATAAGGTCTAAAACGGTCTCATAAGAGGCGACGTTATTCGGAATCCATTTGGAACTATTAAACTTAAAATTAGTTCACTGCATATCGAAATATGTTCTGCGCGCTGTCCAAGAGATCCTTAATATCCTGCGTGCATATCATTTCAAGCTCTTCTATTCTCCTGCGACATGCTGCATTTAATGTCCGACCAATAAGTTGCGATGGAGAATATTTAGCGCTTTGAGAAGTCTCATCCTGGTCATTTTCTGAATGTTGTGGTCTTTTCAGATTTTAGCCAGTCTACTCAAAGCTTCCTTCCCTCCTTCTCTTGATTCCTTGCCCCAAGATAGATGATAGTGCCCCTCTATATGATGAATGTGTCGAAGTGGTATTGGGAATGCCTGAGGTCTATCCGCAATCAGCAGGCAGGATTTGGACCCATTTAGACGTAGGCCTGATTCCAAGCTAGCAGCTTCCCCACATTTAAGGAGTTCAAACATTTCTTGTTCAGTTTGTGCCAGAACTATCTAAGTTTGACACTTTCTTCCCGACAATAGAGACTCCGCTATCCCAGTTTTTTAGAGCCCTTCTAATGATCGATTATCCGTAGATATTAAAGAGAAGTATGGAAAGTATGCAACCCTGTCTAACGCCTTTTCCCATGTTGAATCCTGTTGAGAATTGCCATTCCATTTGTATTGAAAGATATATACGAGATGTTCTATAATCGTCTCCACTGTACTGTGTCAAATCCCTTGGTGAAGTCGAAGTCTTCTTCTTCTTCTTCTTCTTAGTCGTATTCTCATGTCTGAGAAATCGTGATCTCGCGGAGGTATTTTAAGATTCGCCGACGACATACTATGGACAGTCTGTCTTTCACCTTCAGCTCCCTTAGTATAGATTCATTGGTACCTTTCTCAATTCATGAAATTCGTAGCATACTTCACCGACACCACATCTCAAAGGCGTCTGTCTATCTTTCGTGTCTCTGGTGATTTAATAGTGCAGAATTCCGCTCCGTATAGACAGATTGAGTATACAACTGATTTAACCAGCATTATTTTCGTGTTTCTTGTGATGTATCGATCTTTCTATATTCTGGTGAGGTTGCTTATGGCTCCTCGTGCCATTGCTATTCGTCCTTTTATTTCCTTTTCGGACCCGCCCTGATTGCTTATTAGGGATCCCGGGTACACAAATTCATCTAAATTTTCTATGTTTGGGATATTGTTGAGATTTATATTTCCTTGGAACATCTGCCTTCCAAGTATATCTCTTCATATGGATTTGAAAGATAATATGTAATCAGTTTACTTGACAAACTTATGTTTATAACCACTACTGCAACACAACTTTATTTAGAACACTGGACACGTGTTTCACCAACCAAGTTGGCATCATCCTCAGATGATATAAACTAGTTTACATCATCCATCTGCCGATGAACCCAACTTGGTTGTATGTTGTTGTTGGTTGTTGGTTGGTTGTGGTGCAGTAGTGGTTATAAAAGTAAGTTTGTTGATCTTCCACCACAGGTTCCAGTCTCCCCGAACCAGTTTACTCGAATTAAATGAAAAAAATAAACATGAATGACATCTATAAGAGCACTCGCAGTACTGGATTTTCGTTTACTATTTTATGGTACTATTCTATTAACAATTAGATTTGATTATAGAGGACTTTTTTAATTATTTTAACAGCGCTGGAAATATGCTCATTATTTTTAAGGTTTATATAACAAACTACCGTTTATTTTAAACAAGAAATCGCCACTTAAGTGTTTCGCATGACTTTTTAACCGCTCTATATTATTTGATGGGGCAGGCATCCAATGATTCAATATAATAAAGACTTTACAAATATTTATTGTGCTCATCTTTTCAATAAGTCGATTCGGATGTCCAAGTATTGGAAGAACTTTTTATTTAAAAAAAAATGGAAGTACACAAAAGGTGGCTACTGGAGGATTACAAATAAAATTTAACCAATTTCCCAAAGATTTTGCAGACCCCAAAATCAAAATGAGGGTATTTAAATAATCGTTTGTATCGTAAGGCTTATGCTTATCGTAAGGTAATGCTAATGGCAAAATGCTTTAAAGCAGATGGCTTTCAATTTTAGCGTCTTACTTCATTCTAGGCTTTATTATTACATACTTGACGGAATCAGTTTTTTTTTATTTTAATTTAATAACTGTATTCCACTCAGGTTCTCGGTTTTTCCCTGATATCTTCGAATCGGATCAGAATTTTCGCGACTTTGAAATTGTTTTAAATAAAGCATCAAAATACGCAACTTTGCTTCTGTTTGAGTGACTTCGTATCTCTTATGGTTTCAATAGTTCCCCTTGAATTTGCGACAACCTGTACATAATAATTGTTTGCTATGCATGAATAACAGTAATAATTTTCACTGGATGAATAAGAGTTCCGACTCTGCTGTTGTTTTGGTGCACTGGCAACATCGACATCGGAAGAAAATATTTCTAAACTATTGTAGAGATTTGGGAAAGGCCACTATCTTAAGTAGGAGGAAAGCCATAGTTCTTCCTCCGCCATTCAAGTGTTCAGGTCTGATTTCATTTTCGCACTAATTAAAAGGCAAACTCAAACGTGTCTTGCAAATAATAATAAGAATAATAATAATAATAATAATAATAAAATTTATTTCGAATCAAAATAATACAGAAAGTATCACAAAATTTAGCATTATCGTTCATTCCCTAGATACTGAAAGTAATATTCAAATTGAATATTATGTCCGATGCTTAACAAGTTTGCTTTCGAAAAATCGTCACTGGGCGGGGCAAGTTCGTAGCGCGTAGCGCGACGCAGCTTTTTATTATAAAAAGAACTTCCCGGTTTCGTGTGGTAAAGGGATGCACTGTTTTTCTATCGTGCTCCTGCGGACCACTATCGAACTTTCGGAAAATCGATATAATTTAATTTTGCATGCACCCTGTATAAAATGTCCTTCACATCTTGTCGAACTTCAAACTTACAGCAAACATCGGTAAATATTAGAATTTGCACAAATAATAGCGTGGTCGAATGATATTGTTTCAAATATCTCGCGCCCCGTATAATTGACGAAACCTGAAACTCTCTCACGGCACACTTTACGATACTAGTCAAATAAAATTATCCCATCTATAACGGGTTTTCATTTATCGCCAATAATTTACCCACAAAAACGGAAATTTTTAGGATATTTTAAATTTTTTGCCCATAAACGGCACACCCTGTATATGATACAATTATTGTTCGAGGCAGAGGTCATAACCCTGGATTTTCCACGCGTCCTGGTTCAATAATTTTGTGAAAATATTAAATGGTTTTCGAGAAAATAAATTTTATCTGAAACCATGCAGTGCGCTGTAATAATGACGTCATCGCCTCTTGACAGTGCCCAAAATAACGACTTCAATATGGATTTTTTCAAATATCTCGAGCAGCGTAAGTGACGAAAACTGCAAATACAAAAATGGTAGGTCTTGATGCGGCCTATGACACCGTTCGAACCAATTAGCCATATTTTTTACGATTTTTGATTTGCGGCTAATGATTTACTCTGTAAAAAAATAATTTTCTAGGTCTTTTAGATTTTTGCCTATAATTTGAAAACCCTGTATATAACCGAAAAAATGCCCCAAATAAATGTTATTGCACTGGATCTTCTGCGTCCGCCGGTTAAAGAATTTTGCCAATCGGATGAACGATTATGGATGAAAATATATTTTTCTGGAAGCTAAAATTACCAAAAAAAAAAATTTCAAACATTTAAAAAAATACTTGGTAAAATTGGATTGTGCCCAATGTCTATCGTTTAAATGTAGACTTTTAGTTCTCTGCTAAATTTGAAGTTGATATCTGCAAATTTAGGACACCTAACACATTTTTCATTTATCACGGAATATCGTGTACCCTGTACAATAGGTGAAAACCTTAAATACAAAAGTTTTTTCTGTCTATGCGGGCTATAACGCAATATAAAAGAAAGTGAGATCTGAATCATATTCTTTAAGTTATAACCAATTTTCTATAATACGGGCACCCACTTTTCAGTTATTTTGAATTTGCGGCGCACCCTGTATATTTTTGAAAAATTGTCAAAAATAAAAGTATCCGTATCTTCATACGAGCGCAGATACTTTCGAAAATTCGATTTCATCGATTTTCAAAAGTAACAAGCAATAAAAAAATAAAAAAGTTTTCTACAGTTGGAAACAGAAATACAAAAACAAAAATATAACTAAAAAACACATAAAGTATAGGATAAACTTTTAATTTAAAAATAAATGAAAGTACAGAAAAGATTGCTACTACAGGATTGTAAACAAACTTTAACCAATTTCCTAAAGATTTTGCAGATTCAAAAGTCAAAATGACGGGCTGAAACGGCACTTTTCGATCGGCGTCTAATTACTTCATCCACCATTAACGATAAGGACTCCGAATCCACTTCGGAAAACGACTATTTTTAGATGTGACCGGCGTGCCCGCCATTATTATATACTCCGGGCATAGAAAGAAAAAAATGGTAAAAAAGGAGGTGTTAAATCTGCGGGCCGCAATCTACCAGCGCGTTTGCCAGCTGTCGCCGGCCATTTGAATTATCCGCTTAACTGTTGTACGCATTAATTAAAAGAAGATGAGGCCGCCGCCGGTACGTGACGGCCATGACGATTCGGATGC